CTGAATTTGACATTTGGGAAATAAGCCTGTGAACCTTAGCTGCCCCATCTGCCATTCACTCTGAAAATTCTGAAAATCAATGATCTAATTTAACTCCTCAAGTAGTTAAAGGAAGAACAGGAAATAAAAATTTAAAAAGTAGAGGGACCCAGAGTGAACTGTAATGTAAACTATGGATTTTGGGTGATGATGTGCAAATGTAGGGTCATCAATTGTAACAAATGTTCCACTCTTGTGGGGGATGTTGATTATTGGAGAGGCTATGCATGTGTGGGGGCAGAGGTATATAGGAAGTCTCTCTATCTTCCTCTCAATTTTGCCGTGAACCTAATACTGCTCTAAAAAAATAAAGTCTTAAAAATTAATTTAAAGTGGCCGGCCCCACAGTGTAGTGGTTAAGTTTGGTGCACTCAGTTTCGGTGGCCTGGGTTTGCAGGTTCAGATCCTGGGCACGGACATACACCACTTGTCAGCCATGCTGTGGAAGTGACCCATATATAAAATAAAGGAATATTGGCACAGATGTTAGCTCATGGCTAATCTTCCTCTCACACACACAAAAAGGTAAAAACAATAAGTTTATAGAAAACAGCATAGGAGAATATTTTAAGCATCAAGCATATAAAAAAAGACTGGTAAATTGGCCTACATTAAAATTAAGAATTTCAGTATATCCAAAGACATAATTAAGAGTGAAGAGGCAAGCAAGCCATAGTGGGAGAAGATATCTAAAACATATTTAACTGACAAAGGACTTGAAGCCAGAATTTATTAAGAACTCCAAATCAGGGCCGGCCCAGTGGCTTAGCGGTTAAGTGCGCGTGCTCTGCTACTGGTGGCCCGGGCTCGGATCCCGGGCGTGCACCGATGCACCATTTCTCCTGCCGTGCTGAGGCTGCATCCCACATACAGCAACTAGAAGGATGTGCAACTACGACACACAACTATCTACTGGGGCTTTGGGAAAGAAGAAAAGGAGGAGGATTGGCAATAGATGTTAGCTCAGAGCTGGTCTTCCTCAGCAAAAAGAGGAGGATTAGCACTGATGTTAGCTCAGGGCTCATCTCCCTCATAAAAAAAAAAAAAAAAAAGAACTCTAAATCAACAAGAAAAAGACAATCCAACAGAAACATGGGCATATCACCAAAGAGGCTATCCAAATGTTCAATTAACATTTGAAAAGGTGTTTCCTTATTAATTTCATTTACAAAATGGGAAATGCAAAGTAAACCACCACTACACACCCTGCAAAAGGACTCAAATATGAAACACTGACAATCTAAGTGTAAGCAAGAATGTAGCACAATGTAAATTCTCATATGCTGCTGGTAGAGTGTAAATTGGTACAATTATTTTAGACAACTATTTGGTATTATTTACTAAAGTTTAATATAATAGTATGTCCCAGCAATTCTAGGTATATATTATCAGAAATGTATGCATTTTTGAAAAAGACATGTACAAGAATGTTTACAGCAGCATTACTTATAATAGCCCCCAAATGGCAACAACTCAAATGTCCAACAGATAAAAAATGATAAAGAAAAAAGAACAGAAATTTTGGTATATTCGTACAGTGGACTGCTATATAATAATGAACAATATGGATGAATCTCACAAATATAACATTGAACCAAGAAGCCAGACACAAGAAGTGCCTACAGTATGATTTCATTTACACGAAGTGCAAAAAAAAAGCAAACTTCGTTCCTTTGAGGAGAGGGGAGGGGCTGGGGTGATATAGGTGAATAGATAATGTTCTATTTCTTGGACCTAGGTATGATTACACACGTTCAGTTTGCGGTAATGACTTGAATTCCCTGTATATTCGCTATACTTCAACTAAACAGTTTAAAAAATACAGTTGGATAAAAAAACAAGGATGCAAAATTAACAGGTAAGGACAAACAATGATCATAGCTTTATGAAGCAAAAGATCAGTGTATAATGCTCCTCAGAGTCCCCTTTCTTCCTTGGAGGTGTCTCCTAATCTTTTTTCGAGCTCCCTAAAGATAGGAAACATTCATACTTATATTTATCTACATATAGCACCAAGGACGCAGAACAGGGTCTATGATAGCTCCTCAATAAACGTTGCAGAATGACTGGAAATTTGCTTTTTAGTCAGTTGGTCCTGGAATTGCAAAGAAAAACAGTGAGATGAGGGAGGAGTTAGAGGTGGCACAAGCAAACTTTCTTCGCAATATTATTGGGGTTCTCAATCCAGACCAGACTAAAAATTTATTGCTATCAACTCTAAAGAAACTTTTTTTTTTACCTTATATGCTTTCCCCCCCCCCCCAAAGCCCCAGTAGATAGTTGTACGTCATAGTTGCACATCCTGCTAGTTGCCTTATGTGGGACGTGGCCTCAGCATGGCCGGAGAAGCGGTGCGTTGGTGTGCGCCCCGGATCTGAACCCAGGCCGCCAGCAGCCGAGCGCGTGCACTTAACCGCTAAGCCACAGGGCCGGCCCAACCTTATATGCTTTTAAAGTAACTATTAGTAAAACCCACACATAGTTTCCTAATAACTCAGCAAGTATATTAATGTAACATGGATTGTTAGAAATGTTGGCTGGATATACTTTCTAATTGGAAAATAGATTTGTTATCTATTCTGAATATCTCATTAGTTAGCCTTCTTTATATTATAAAATCTTTGTTTCACTAGCCTGGCTTTTCTTCTCCCAGTTTTTGATTAGGTGGTATAATTATGAGGAAGAAAAATAGTGTAATGGTGTGTGTGGCACAAGCTTAATGTTTATCTCTTTTACTATTTATTTATATTTATATAGAGAGATGTATATATATGTACCTGGGTAAAGATTGGATGGGTAGTCATGGTGGATACATGGTTCAAGGAAAGGGCAGAAGTCTTGACTGGTATATAGCTTGACAAGAAGGGAAACTGGTAAAGAATTGAAAATTCTATTACAGTACAAAAAATTATTCTTAGAGTCACATAATCACTCCACAAATATTTATTGAATACCTTAAATTTTCAAAACATTGTTCTAGGTACTGGAAATACAATAATGGACAAATCACATACGATCCCCGCTCTCATGGAGCTTACATTCTAATGTGAGGGACAAACTACACAATTATTTCATGACAATTGCAATGAGCTATTGAAGTATTGGAGCTATGGAAGCATATGAGGTATATGAAGAATGAGAGCCTATAATTAGGGGATCAAAGAGGAAGGATGTTTGAGCTGAGTTTTACAGTAGAGGGACTTAATTGACAATGATGGGGAATGGGAGGGGCATAATTCCAGGGGATTACATGAGATAACTGAGCAAAGGATTGTTGGTAGGAAGGAATACAGCATGTTTAGAAATGGAAAAGATCAGCATGACTGGTGCACTGAGCAACAAGGACAGCGGCCTTGGATAGGACTGGTGTGGTAGGTAGGGGCAAAAAGCACACAGGGCCTTGTAGATTGTGTTAATAATTTTGTTTTTTATCCTAATAACTGCAAGATGCCATTAAAGGGTCTTAAGCCCCCAGCCCAATGTAGGAAGCAGGTTACTATAGCAGAAAGAGGTTTGGTCTGGCAATCAGACCTAGAGCAAAGATTATAGGCCCTTGAAGAAATTATTAACTTTCTGGACTGGCTTCCTTGTGCATAAACTGTTAGTTTGGACTAGATGAGCACTTAGGTTTCCTTCAGCTCTAAAATTCTATGAACACCTCTGTATATTCAAAGCCAAAATGTCAGTTACAGGTCACTTGACTTCTTGGTGAACTCTTCCCATCTCCAGAAATGAACACCTTTTAGATCCAATTAAGAGTCATACTTTAATCTGTGTAATGGTGATACGGCTGAAGTTTGATTATCTCAAAGAAGGCTGGGAAGTCTTCTTCAAGATGGGAAGTGGGGAAGAAGATAGTAGTGACCAGATGCAAAATAAGTGTAATCCATGCTCACAGGGATTAAGAAAGCAAGCAGAAGAGGACAAGATGGGAAAATTCAGCTCACTAGGATGATTTAATTTAAAGGCAGCTAGTGAAGAGGAAGTTTAGGAGCGGGAAGGGATTGTTTATTAGCAAGCCCCATCTTCATCAGCAGCTCTGCAGGCCCCTTTCCCCCACCATTTTGACAGTGTAACTGACATTTCCTCAAGCTTCTGCAATATGTTATGCAAAAAGTTCAAGCACTCCATTTCTTGAGATTCGCTCAAATTAAACCCCTTCTATTTAAAAACTCTGGAGCGGAAGAGTGAAAGCGACTCTATAATCTGAAGGACAAGAGTGTGTCTGTGTGAGTTTTGGGGGAGGAGAAGTTAGAAGGAACTATAACCCCAAAGTGTTAATGCTGAACAGGATCTTGGAGATGACCTCTAAAGCACACTCCGAATTTTAAAGATGAGAACACAGAAATCTTCGCGGTGAGGCGCCTTTCCCAAGGTGACACTAAGTGGAGGAGCCTAGCCACGAGCCTCGGTGGACGCCTGGGTGTCCCTCTACCCGTAAAGCCGCAGCCCTGTTCGCGGCGGGGAGGAGAGCCCCGGAGGCTGCCTGACCGCTGGGGCGCTCCCCGCTTTCCGGGGCCGCCCGGTTGGTCTCCCTCTGCCTCTCCCTTGGGGCTGCGGAGACACTCCCCGCCCCGGGGACATCTCCCCCCCACCCCGTGCAGGGTGGGCACGGCGCCCGCCTCAAGCCTCAGGCGCTGGCAGAAGCGCAGCTTCTTCTGGATAACCGAAGAGACGTCAACACGGGCCGGGCGAAGTGGTGGGAGCAGATAACGGAGCGGTCATGGCCCCGCACGGCCCGGTCCTGGGGGAAGCGGAACAGCCACTGCCCGGACGTGGCGGCCGCCTTTGGAACGGGGGAGCCGGGGGCCCCGGAGCCCCGCACGACCGCGCTCCCGGCCGCCGCCCGGGGGAGGCGGTCCTCCCTTCGCCTGTCCACGCCGCGTCGGGCCGGTTCCCCTCCCCCACCTCCGGCCACGGGAAATGCCGACCCGCGGCCCCACAGGCGAGGGTACCCGGCTCTTTGGTAGCTTCCTCCCCCTCCTCCTTGTGGTCCTCCGCAGAGAGCAGACGGCCACCGGCAGCGGGATACAAATTTCGCGCGGGCAGAGCTCAGGTGGGCCGTAAAGAGGCGCGGACCGGAAGTGGTGGTTGTCATAGCTACCGAGGGGGCCAGCCTCTTCCCGGTCTTTTCCTCCTCCCCATCCGCACTCCCACTCTGTTTTTATGAGGCCAGCAAAACCGAACGAGGAAGTGCTGACGCACTGGCCCCCCAAATATAACCAGATGCTCTAACGACTTTGTTGGCCAGTTGATTTGGGAGAGGACCAGACCGGAAGTGGTAGTTCCCATGGTAACCCCTGAGCGGGTTGCCTGGGAGATGACCCCTTTCGGCCTCTTTGAATCTCTGCTGTAGCGTCAGTTCTAAGGCCGATCTAACAGATCCTGTACTGTCTTCTGCCATGATTCCCGGGAAGTACCGCTCTGTTTCTGGACGGGCTACGAACAACGTAGGTTGGGTCTCCTACTTTCCCTTTCTTCCCATTCGTATCGTCCTTTCTGACTGGCGTCTTTGTCCTAGGTGATGGGCTGTATTATTGGGACCAGGACCGCTGAGTCTGCTCAAGCTATTGTCTGACCGAGGCTTGAGATTCGTGGACTGGACCAAGGCACTTGGAGGGTATTTAATATTGTATGATGGGTATTCAAAGTCTTGTCCAGAATCTGGGCTTCCCAGAAGGTGGAGCTGGTCTGCTGTGAAAGGCTCAGGTTCATTTAAATTCCTTTAACCAGTCAATTTCTTTCTTTTTCTTATCTTTTCTTTTTTTTAATTAAGAAAAGAATTTATTATTAACGGACACTCCCACCCCCTTCACTGTCCCATTGGGATATTTACTTAGACCTGAAATGGCAAGAGTCAAAATCCTGAGGTGCTAAGTAGAGGGTTAAATTGCTGCAGACATTTTGGAAAATGAATCACAGTGAAACCTTTTAATTCTTAGTTGCGACTTTATTGTTTTCAGCAAATCCTCAGAACATGATCATTTACCAGAAACAAACATGCTGTTTTATTCCAATTTTTTGTTATGTCTTTATCTGTATTATTTTGGGGAGGAATGTGTGTGTGTGTGTATTTAAGTTAAGAACATATTTTATGGCTCAATTTTTACATTGCAGGTGAACTGTGGGCTTCATCTGGTTATTCAAACATCATCGCTTCCTGAAAAAAACAAAGTAAGATTTAAGCAGATTTGTATTTACATTGAAGATAAATTATTTTATGTTCTACACAAATAGCAGCATGATTTAAAGAGTAGAGTCTGGCCTGGAAATTTTAAGTATATTTACTTTGGTCTCCATTATAAAGCTAATTTTTATTTTCTGCCTACATAAAACCAAAACACCTCTTTTAAAAACTGAATCTTATTTCACCAATTACAAGAGGTGAGTGGTTTTTTTTTTTTTGACATTTAAACATTTCTTAAATCAAGATCCTTCTTATAATTGGTGGCACATAATAGTTTAATTGGGAAAGTTTTTTCTTTCTTAGCAGTGGGTAAAATGATGGTATGTCTTACTACTGATGGAATCTTATAATGGATAAAATATGATAATTTGGGGGAACATATTTACATATTCCATTTAAAATCAGGGGAGAAAAAATAGATTAGCAGTGGAAATATATGGGCTTAATACTCTTTAGAAGTTAAAACGTGAACATGAGATTCTCTTTTTCCAATTTGCCCATAATATCCCTGGCATTTCCATAATTTCTGGCTTTTGATTTGATTTTTTAGATACACATGGTTTTCTTACCCTCCTGTTTCACCTCAGTGCTCAAACATACTCACCCACCTCCCACACAACTATATCTCAAGACAGGACACAATTTTTTCTGCTTTGACCAAGTTGGACACCTCCAACCATCACAACTCAGTTTTTTCCTAAAAAATTGTTAAATAGACGTCACTGGAGGAACTCTAAAGTGAAGGACAGAGTTTACAGGCAGCAGCACAAGGAGGGTAAGGAGGGGCACGAGGAGGGTGGATGGAAGGACACCATTAGTCAAAGAGGCAACAGTTGATTACATTATGTATATGAAGATGAACCCTTGGAAGAGAGATCATTTGGTCATCTTGAATAAACAGCATATAAAGAGCAAATAATAAAAACTAATAAATAAATAGCATATAAAGAACAAATAATGTAAATAAATAGCAAATAAAGACATTGAAAGTATTCTTTATTATAATTGGACATAATGGATTCTGTCCAAACCTTTGCTAATTGGTTTCACTGGACAAATCCTATTCTACCTTTATAATGTGTTTCTAGGAACTGTGTACCTCATCCAAATTCTTTCCAAACCATTCATTTTCCCTTGTGTGGATGTATGTTCTGAGAAAATGCCTTCAGCTCACCTAATTCATAAGGATATAAAGCAAATGCTATTATAATGTTTATAGTCTGAGTGAATCAGAAGCATCATAATTCTTTTGAGATTTGTATTTAGGGTTTTTCTTGTGGCTAATCACGAGAAGTTGTTTTCTCAGTCCTCCTATCAAGTAAGTTAAAATCAGTTTAAAAAAAGACCCTTCTTAGAAGGTTTATTTATATAATTTTATGATGTTATAATTGGACTCTTGAAGGAATTTTAATGATAAAAACATAGGGATTTTTATTTAACAGAACTAAGTTTCTATTGTATATTTTTTGCTTTTGTTTTTGAGAAAATGATTCTTGTATTCATTGTATTTGTGGTGAGGGTATGAGGGCATTAGGAGTGCCTTAGATTGGCGCATGGTTTCCTCTGACCTCATGAAATTGACTGATTTTTTGTGTGTGTGTCGTAAAATACACATAACATAAAATTTACCATTTTGACCATTTAAAATTGTACAAATCAGTGGTATTAAATACATTCACAGTGTTATGCAGCCATCACCACTATCTAGTTCCAGAACTTTTTATCACCCCAAAGGGAGTCCCTGTATCCATTAAGCAGTCACTCCCCATACCCCATCCCCTACCCGCCTGGAAGCCACAAATCTGCTCTCTGTCTCTATAGATTTTCCTATTATTGATATTTCATAAATAGAATCATACAATATGTGGAATTTTGTGTCTGGCTTCTTCTACTTAGCGTGATATTTTCAAGGTTCATCTGTGTTGTAGCATGTATCAGTTATTATATGTTATTTTATAATTATATTCATTACTTATTGTTAAATTCTTCTCCAAATATTTTTTTCTTAAATAATGTTTTTTAGGTTGAATTCAAGCTACATAAAGAAACACCATCATTCCCTGGTCGACTCTTACAGCATGACCTTGAAAGAAACTACTCAAGTAGGCAAGGTATTGTCAGTCAGTAGAGATCAGATGTGATTTATCTTCTTTAAGTAACATTGTTTAGTAATGTTGAATTTCTAGACCCAAACAGATTTGAATTAAAAATGAAATGGTTCATTGGTTACCAAGTTGGTTTGGTATTTGTTTAAATCAGAATTGGTTTTATATACACAGAATAGTAGCTTATTTCCAATGTAGAAAAATTTATTGCATTTTAGTTTGGGAGCGGGCTATGCACAAGAGAATGGGAAAGAACCTTCCAAATACTGTATTAGAACTAGGAAAAATGGCTAATTAGTAAAAGTAAGAGGATAGGAACACAGATCTTTAGGAAATAAGAAATCAATGGAAAGAGTGGAAAGTTAGGAATAGAAAAGAAATAATCTCTTTCCCTTACTAGCACACGTAGTTATAGATATTTTATATCAAAGGCCTTAAACTTTAGTGCGCATCACCTCAGATCTTGTTAGAAATGCAGATTTTTAGTGCTCCCCTTCCATTTTTCCCCTTCTCCATTCTGATTTTGTAGGTCTTGGGTGGGATTTGAAAATGTGCATTTTATTAATGTCTCAAATGATTCTGATAGGTGTGGTTTGTGGACCACTCTTTTAAAAATACTGCCTTATATGATCTGGTTATATTTCTGACATGTATTTTTTAATTCAAGGAGAAATTTCCTTTGGCACATTCGAGTTGTTAGTGAGTTGCTAACAACTGTTAGCTATCTGTAATGTGCTAGTGTTAAGCACTACAGAATCCTTATGTACAGTACCGTCCTCACCTCCTAGGAGTTCGTATGAGGGCTGATGGGTATAGGCCTCTCTAGATTGTTCATCTCATTACTGCATGAACAGATGGTAATTTTGAATATTGATTAGTTTTCCCTTTTTGTTTCGTTACTTCTAGACCTTCCTCTTGGACCCATCTAATCTGACACACCTTTTCTCTCTCCTGTATCCTACTACTCCTGTCTTGGCCAATTGCTGGACATGCCATCAACCTAACTGCAGTTTTACAGCATCTGTCTTGCTTTTCTTTGGTTCAGTTCAATACATATTTATTGAATGTGTTTTATATGCCAGGCACTGTTTTAGGCACAGAGTTATAGAAGTGAACCTGGAAATTCTCAACTTGGATATTTTATGTTTGCATTATGAATTTTCTTCACATTTTTGATAATAATATCTTAAATTTGTTTTCTAAATCATGAATCAAATACTTTTCCCAAGCTTTTCTTGAGTCAGAAGAGGAAGTTGGTGTACAGATTTGTGGATGACTGGCCAGGTAAATTTATTTAAGTGGTAAAGTACGTATTACTAGATATTTGCTAGTGAGGAGTAGTGTGGACACACTGAATTTTGTGAACCTGAGAGATGAATAAAGTCTTATACGTAAGTAAGGACCCATAAAATACAAATTAATTTTTTAGGGAAAAATAAACCTAATTTTTTTTCATTAAAATATTTTATTAAAAATAATTTTCTCTGACAGGCTATTCATTTGTACCTGGTTGTTTCCAAATGTGCCTCCTCCATAGTGCCAGGCAGTTTCATGTAAAGAAGGCCACGTAGCTTAGAGCTGTTTTCTTGGCTTTTGTACTCACCATTCTACCTCTAAAGGCATGAAACTGGAAAAAGTATAAGTAACTTTATCAGGAAAAATTCGGGGACCACTAATAAACTGCATCCTAATACCCAATCGTTGTAATTAATTTCACTCCATCACTTATTTTTCAAAATTAATTGAACATATATAATAGCTTGTCAGCATAAATTAACCAATGGTACTCTCAGTCCAAAGTAAAAAAACTCGATGTTTTAGTTTGGCTGATTAGTCCAAAACTTGGTGTGTGATTTCTTTTTTTTTTTTTTTTTTAGGAAGATCAGCCCATGCTAATCCTCCTCTTTTTTTTTTTTTTTTTTTTGCTGAGGAAGACCAGCTCTGAGCTAACATCCATTGCCAATGCTCCTCCTTTTTTTTTTTCACCAAAGCCCCAGTAGATAGTTGTATGTCATAGTTGCACATTCTCCTAGTTGCTGTATGTGGGACGCGGCCTCAGCATGGCTGGAGAAGCGGTGCGTCAGTGCGCACCTGGGATCCGAACTCAGGCCACCAGTAGCGGAGCATGTGCACTTAACCACTAAGCCACGGGGCCAGCCCTGGTGTGTGATTTCTTTTAGGCTTTTTAGAATATTGTTCAGAGTTAATCCCTATATCTTTGAGATTTTGTAAGAGCCGGATACTCTGGGGACTACTACACGGTAAAATCTCAGTTGAGCAGACCTTAATTGATTAAAGCACTTAATTAAGAATTCCAAAATGTGTGTATAGAGGGGAAGAGGCAGTGCTTGGCTCTTAAGATCATGATAAATCACTGGAAAATCTAGAATTAGGATTTTGGTTGCCAAAGCAATCTCAAAGATAAGGCCGAGTAGGTACACATTTATGGTAATGTACTATATCAGCCAGCCAGCTAGCTAGCCATTCACCCATCTGTCTGTCCACCCGCCCATTGTCCATCCATCTATCCATCCGTCCACCTGTCCATCCATTTACCCACCCATCCATCCATGTATCTAAAGTACAGTACACAGTGAAGATTCTTACCAAAGGTAGTCATATGCCTCTTAGCACTTTGAGATCCTAATTATGAAAGAATTCATTCAGCATTTTTATACTAAAATGCTGATTTTATACTAAAATGCAAGAAATTCTGATTTTCATTTTTAACAGAAATAGTATATACAAAACAGATTTCCAATTAACTCACTCCATTTCTTATTTTGGGATATGTGTGGATGTTTCATCCCACATATATATGTGGGTGTGTAGTACACATATATATGTGTATATGTGTGGGTGTTTATATATCCACATAAATATGTCAGTGTTTCAACCACAGGTCACTCTGGTTCCTAGTCATTTAGAAGATCTTGTTCATGGATTTTAAGGCCTTTCCACCTAATCATTCTTATCTCTTGCTATTTATTGTAAGTTGTATATAACACTGATTATGATAGTAAACTCATCATGCGGGTAGTGGTTATGACTTCTTTGTACACTAGGAGCTGAAAACTATGAGGATAAAATTCCTTTATTCACTGAGTGTAAATTAGATTTACTCTTTGATTATTGCCTTTACATCTCAAGTCTTATGAAGTTTAAATCTGCCTCTTAAATTGAGGATTGGCTTGAAGCCTTAACAAAATAATTCAAAAAACCTAACTCTGATGCTAGTGAGAGAAATCGAGGTTGTCTATTATTTGCAGTTTTTCCTTTATCATCTTTGGCTGACTGGTTAATCCTTAGACTAGTTTGTTTTGTTTTTGTTTTTTTAACCATCTGATTTTTGATTTCCAAATCAGTTTTCTGAATCCTGTTTGCTTGGTCACAAGACCAGTTCATTGCTGAACATGATGTCAATTCTGAATGCTTGTACTCTAGATCATCATTATGAGTTATCTTGGTACTTCATGATATTCAGAAAAGTGGGATGTGAGCAGTGATTATTTTGTTGAGGAAGCTAAGTGTGTGATACTTTGGTTTATGCCTTGCAGACCTAGAGATGCTGGCAAATACCATTGCTTTACAGCTCTTTGATATGGTCTATATGGAACTTGATTTTAAGTTGTCATCATATTGTCTGATGGCCTCCCAAAGAGTATGTTGGCTTCCTAGATTTGGTTTCATCTTTTCACCTTATTGGTCAATTTAAGCAGCAGAATTCTGTGGTAACCTTAGGTTCTGTTTTACTGCTCCTCTCTCCCCTCAAGCACTTTAACATCAGTTGCTGTTTTCAGGAGATTTTCTCTTTATACAGGAAAATACAGTAGATTTCCTCTGGTGTTAAACTGTCACCTTTGACCCATTACTCAAATCTTACCTCATTTCTGGAACTTCCCAGCATCTCCTCTTGACCATTCTATATTCTTCTAGGTCTTTAGAATATATCTTAATATCCATGTCTCCCAAAACCCATCTGTAACCATCTTCATTAAGTGAAAAATACCAGATACACTTACATGTGAGTATAGAAGGAAGTATTATTTTTTATTCTGTGTTTTATGCATGTTGTTCTGTATAGTTTATTAATTTCGTATGTGTTTGTTCACTAGATTGAAAGCTACTTAATGGCAGGGACACCGTCTAACCAACACCCTGTAAACCTCATAGGAGTGTCATATACCTGTGGACCCTAATTGCAAGTGTACAACATTTAGTGATATCCCCTTTGGTCTCTGCAGCATTCTCTACTAATAGCAGCTGAACATACAAAGAAAAAGAGAGAATGCGAGGTTTACATTTGTTATCCACGAGTATTTTCTCTGTATTTCCTGTAGCAAAGTCGTGTATTGTGTAGCTTTGTGATAAACTTTTTGATATTTTGAAGGAGACGGAAGAGTAATAAGCCCTTCGCCTCGTAATAAATCATCATGCATCTCATCCACAACAAACGTGACAGAACTATGTGGGCTGGAAATGAAAACTACCACGAGCTCCTTTTCAGCATTTGGAGATTCTTCCATTCAGACACCTTCAAAGTCCAGAATCCGGCAGGGCTGTCATAGTGCTGGCCCCAATGTATCTGGTAATGAGGGACTATCATCTCAGTTACGAGAGAGTTAAAACTTAGGAGTAGGAGTCAGGATTATAAAGGGATGAAGATAGCACTAGAGTAGTGCTGTGCTTTCAACCAGTCTGTAATGCAAGGGACGAATTTTTGGCATACACAGAACACATGGTTTAGGTTTGAGGAGGACAGAAACAAACTCAAATTGAGTAATTAATTTCAAATATGGAGAGCTATGGAAACTATACTTTATAGAAAAAATACTTGTATGTGCCAAAGTCTTCCAAATATAAGGTGACTTTAGTTTCAAGATTTTAAAGGTTTTTCTTAATCAAGTAATTTATGTATCATTTTCAATAGGTGAACATATTAATTTGGTGAGCTCGTCAATGCCATCATTTCCTATTCTCCAACGTTCTTCTGAAGAGAAAATTCTTTACTCAGACAGGTTGACCCTAGAAAGGTGAGGACAATTTATTTTATTTTATTTTTTGACTAGATAATACATAGACACGGTACAAGGTTTGAAAGGTACAAAAGTCTCTCTCCCTCCTCTTCTTCTCCAGCTATCCAGTTCTCCTACCTAGGTATAATCACTGTGACCAGTTTTTTATTTATCCTTCCGGGGGTATGGGGAGGAATTTTATATCTATATAATGTAAAAGAACTTGACAATACTCTGAAAGAGTTCTATAGAAATTCTAAAATATGACATTGATGGAAATGGATTTTAGGGTAGAAAAAACTTTCCAGTATAGTCCTCACACAGGTTTCTGGGCCCTATCCAGTTAGTTCCTGTTACCTCACTGGCCTCATCTCCCCCTGATCTCTCCTGCACTCACTCTGCTACAGCCACACCTGCCTCCTTGTTGCTCCTTGAGTACCTCAAGCACGCTTACACCTCAGGGCCTTCGCACTTGCTGTTCCCTCTGCCTGGAGGCTGTTCCTCCACATAGCTGTAGGCTCACTCCCTTACTTTCTTTAGGTCTTTGCTGAGATGTCGTCATCTCAGAGTTGACCTTCCCTGGGCACGCTCTCCAAAGCTGCAACCCCTTCCACCCTGACAGTCCCCAGCCCCTCTTCTCCGCTTTATTTTTCTTCTTAGCACTTGTCACCCTCTAACATAGTAAATATTTTACTTATCATGTTTATTGTCTGTCTCCTCCTCCTAGAGTATAAGTTCCACAAGCACTGGGAGTTTGGTTCAGTTCTGCATGCCCAGCACCTGGAACAGAGCCTGGCACAAAATAGGCTCTCAATAAAAAGTTTTGAATGAATGGGTATATTGAGGACTTGATCCCCGTCTTTAAATCTAGGAAGATATCTGTAATAGAATGGTGGATGAAGGATCCTAACCTTAACTTAGTGCTAAAACCAGCAGAGAGGCCATCTCTGCTGTGCATACGTTTAGCTTAGCAGTGCACACCTGACAGCAAATTCTCATGGGCTGTTGTGTTTGTGGTTGGGGCAAGCTCTTCTGGAGGGTATATGTTGTTTTGTAGGCAAAGTAACACTTGAGGGCAGTATCTCTCATGAGATCTTTGCAGTATTATTGGTTTTTGAGATTCTAATCCTATCTAATGTTTATAGCTTTCACAATATCATTTTAATATTTAGAGGGATTTTGTGGTAATTTTAATCTGTGTTTAAAAGTCCAACCAAGAATAGTACCTCAGCCCTTCAGTTTCATGTTACTGGACACTAACAGGAGCCAGTATTTGTAAGAGGATGACATAACAAGGCAGGCACCTGTGTTGTAGCTTGGGCTGACTCAGGCAATTGTGAAGGTGGTCCTCGGCACATGGGCCTCTGGGGTGAAGAAGCAAACTCTCATCAGGGGGAGACTTGCTAACCTGGGAAAGTCAGGGCCAAGGGAACTGTCTCAGCTTCAAAGAGCTAGGCTCTGGCTGTTCTGGGAGTTAGAGTAGGCCTGGAGTACCAGGAGGGCAGCCTGTCAGCACCAAGTAGGAAATGCAGAGGGAAAGCATTGTCCAATAGACACGTCAGTAATGGGGTGGGAGAGGTATCAACCCAGGAGTTTTGTAGGCATAATACACTCCCCTGAGAGCAGTGGATTATCATGTGCGTTTGTTTGCTTGTTTTGATGGATGACAGGGACTTGTAGGATTAAGGGGTGTACAAGTGAGCCTTGGAGTTGGGACTTAGTCACTGGATTTGGAATCTGAGAAAGTGACTTTATTTCAAGCTACAGCAGCTTATGTAAGAGGAGAGTCAGAGGTTATTTTCCTATCTCGGTGATGACTGACTCCAGAATTGATTGAACTAGAAGCTGGAGTTATTAGTAAGTTTAGCTATGAGAAACAGGAAGATGAAGCAGGAAAAATGAAACAATTTAAGTGTTTTGCTAAGCTGATGCACAAAGATATAAATTTTAAACTAGAATACTTACAATTTATTAATTTATAATTTATAAAACAGAAGTACCAAATGTGGTAGTGTAATTGAATGTATGAAATGAATGCTAAATACTAAGCACACGTTAAAAGAATTAAACTGTTACATATTTCTTTTTTTTAACTTTTCTTCTGTTTTAAACCAATTTCTTCAGGGCCTGTATTTGTAAATATCATATCTTTGTCAACCATTAACGTTCAGTTATTTCCCTGTTAAAATCATTCTTCAATCACTTCCACAGTTTACTTATGCATGTAGCACTGATTTATTTTCTTTAAAGATTACGTTAACTTGATTTTTACTGAAAGGAAATATTTCTAATAAATCTCCCAATTAGAGTCGTTCACACTCTGATCAATAGAGCGACATTTTTCCTGAAGACTCTGTTGGAAATCTCGGAGTAGAATTGCTCCTTTCTGGCCATTTTATTACACTAGTAGAATTCTTAAAGGGCCCTGCACATATTTACTTCACATGTAGTATATTATAACTTTTTGCATAATAGAAGCTTACTGTTTTAAATATAGCTAAAGGCGTATTTTATTAACATTTCATCCTACCCTAAGCATGCTAAATGTTCTGCAAAGTTCAAAGTTAGTGTTGAACATGTAAACATACGCCTAAAATTTAAGCTTCTGAGGAAATGTTCAAAGGACCACCTTACTGTTAGTGGATTTCAGGATGAAATTATTTTCATCAAAGTGACCTGTAGGTAGCTGAATTTCTTGCTCTTCCTAAGATATCATCCAGCTCAGGACTCTGTGATTCTAGGAGAGATCCTTTGGTATGTTTTTTTTTCTGATGACTTAGTTGCTTGGACAGTCTTTGTATCAGTGGATTGATGGCAAGGGCATTTCTCTGGTTATGTGACATGGTTCTTTGAGACATCTCAACCTCTATCACAGAAAGCAATCACCTTGAGTGTTCTCTGATGTTAAGTAAATTTTATGTGAAAGAATTGATATTGGAGATTTTTTTAATACAATGAGAGCTTATACTTAATTTTAATAATTACCCTTGTCAAAGTATATTGGCTTTTATATGAATGATTTATAATTAGATCTAGGATGCTTAATTCATGGAGGCAAGAAGTAGTTCTATTTATCTTTTTCTCCTCTGAGCATGGGAGCACAAAGATACTACTAATACTATTCGTAAGAGGAGGCAGGCTGCCAAATCAGAACCTTATTAACTTTTTAAAATGTTTTCTAGGCAAAAGCTGACTGTATGTCCTATCATCGATGGGGAGGAACACCTGCGTTTGTTGAATTTTCAACACAATTTTATAACTCGGATCCAAAATATTTCTAATCTGCAAAAGCTAATATTCTTGGATTTATATGATAACCAGATTGAAGAAATTAGCGGGCTTTGTACTCTGAGATCCCTCCGTGTCCTTCTGTTGGGGAAAAACAGGTAATCTTTGTAGAGCAGTTTTGAGTTGTTATACGTAGGACTAATGTTGAGTCCTATGGTATTTAGATGGCAACTCAGAATTGAATAATACTTAAGAAACTAATAGACTAAAATTTTTTGAAAGTGTGTTTGAATGGATTAAGATTCAGTCATAATTTGTTTTATGAGATTTCGTGTGACAGTTAGTCTAACAAAATAACATTTATTGAGTGTGTATTTTATTATTTCCCTTGCTTTCCAGTGCCATATCTTATATGGCAGTAAATAGCAGACTTTGGCCTTAACTTTATGTTTTCTTATGGTGTATGTATATTTTTTTCTTCTCCCCAAAGCCCCAGCACATAGTTATATATTCTAGTTGTAGGTCCTTCTTATTTTCCTATGTAAGCTGCTGCCACAGCATGGCAACTGACAGACAAGTGGTATGGTTCCACGACTGGAAAATGAACCTGGGCCACCAAGACGGAGAGCACAGAACTTTAACCACTAGACCATCGTGGCTGGATCTAAGCTATATTTTAAGCATGTATATTCACTTTAAGCTTATGTGTTTCACTTGTGTTTCTTCTCAGTGCCTGACTAAGGGACATTTGATACTTTGTGATTGTCAAATTACTGGTTGATTCTTGTTCAGATATTTTCAGTATGTATATAATAGTACATCCTATATGAAGTTGCCCAGTTCCTTCCATAAATCTCTATTATGTAATGCAGTTACACAATTCCTGACCAATTTCCTTGAGATTTGTTCATGACTTTTCTCTCTATTGTGTTTTACTGGATAGCTTTTGCAATTCCTGCAAAGAAGGTCTCTTTAGCAAAATCCAAAAATGATTTTTATATTATCAAGTGATAAAGTTTAGATATGGCATTATACCTAAGGTTGGTTCCCCCCCCCCCCCCCCCCCACAGCATGGATCTTGAATTACCTCTTTATTCTCACTAGCCAATGATAATATAAGATACTTTTTCCAAGATCATGTCCCAGAGTTCTAGGCTCTTGTCTGTTCTCTGTGCTTTCTTGAAAGTTCCTGTCAGTGTAGTTTGTCACCTATAATTGGTTATTCCAGTGTTAAACTAAGCATTATGGTAGCATGAGGGTATTTGGGGGAGTTATAGGATTATAGAGTATTAGAGCTTGAAGTGACCTCAGAGATTAGCTGTCTCATTTTATAGACAAAGAAATGGAGATGTAAAGTGACTTTTGCAAGGTTAGATGTGTACAAACGATATACAGTAGCAGTATGCCACTAGACCAGTTTACTGAGTAAAGTGAGGAGTAACCTTTTCATACATTTTAGGCATTCCCTTCAAGGTGCTCCCTGTTGTCTCTCTCAGAGATTTCTTTATTAGTTTCTGATCCTTGGAGTTATTGATTTGTTTGTCTAGCTTCCATTTATTCTTTAGTATCATCACCCTTTGCCAGCCCTGATGGTCTAGTGGTTAAGAGTCAGCGCTCTCACTGCTGATGCCTGGGGTTCCTTGCCCAGTCAGGGAACCATACTGCCCATTGGTCGGTTGTCATACTGTGGCAGCTGCGTGTTGCTGTGATGCTGAAAGCTATGCCACCATTTCAGATACCAGCGGGGTCACCCATGGTGGACAGGTTTCAGTGGAGCTTCCAGACTAAGACAAGAGTAGGAAGAAGGACCTGGCCACCTACTTCCGAGAAAATTGGCTGTGAAAACCCTCTGAATTGCCCAGCATTGTTTGATATAGTGCCGGAAGATGAGAGGATGGTGCAAAAAGACCGGGCAGGGTTCCGCTTTGCTGTACACAGGGTCACTAGGAGTCTGGAATTGATTGGACGGCACTCACAACAGCAAACCATTGCCTTTATGCCCTCCTTTTAGTCCTTGAGTAAGGTGTTTTCCAGTGATATTTTTAATCTCCTTTTATAGTTTTAAACATAGTATCTGGGGCAGGCCCCGTGGCTTGGCAGTTGAGTGCACGCGCTCCGCTGTTGGCGGCCCAGGTTCGGATCCCGGGCGCGCACCGACGCACCGCTTCTCTGGCCATGCTGAGGCCGCATCCCACATACAGCAACTGGAAGGATGTGCAGCTATGACATACAACTATCTACTGGGGCTTTGGGGGAAAATAAATAAATAAATAAATAAAAAATTATAAACATAGTATCTAAGAGCTACCCTTGGTTCCTAACATTTTAAATCCTCTCTCAATCTATTCTCTTTTATTGCTTCTACTCTTCAGCTTCACTGGCTTCTCAAAAATAATTAAGTTTTAAAAAAATAATTTGTGCCTCAAAGACACCAGTCTATCTGACTTTCTGACCTTTCTACATGTCTCTTTGCTCCTCCAGCTCTAAGGGACCTAATGCCCTTCTCTATCCTTACCTTGGTCAAGGAAAAGCAATCTGATGCAGTCTCTTCTGCCTCTTTCTGCTCCTCCATCTTTTTGTTTGTTTGATTTTGGTCATATTTTACTTTATTTTTCACACAAAGAAAATAGCTGTTAAACAGTTCTAGAACTGTTAGTGTTCTTGAATAAAAAAGAAAATGAGTCAGAAGACAACTTTCCACATTTTCCCAAATTGCATATTTCTGAAGTATCAGTACAATGCAAATCTGATCCCTAAGACATATGCTTAGCGCTTTCCAACCAGCTGACTTTGTCATGGCAAGGGGGCTGTGAGCCTTGAAGTTGCAAATCTATCCTGTGGCAGTACTTGAGTGAACATTATGCAAACCTGGCTGAGGAATGTTGGAGAAGAGAGAAGCACATCTGCTACCCTGTCTCCTCACGTTTGTTGTGGATGACTTGTTACCCTCTGCTGGTCAAGTCCAGAAAGTTTGCTCCCTCCGACATGGCACAGCACTGCACCATCTTTAACTCCAAGGCAATGGAACCATATTTGAAAATCCAGGGCAGCCATATGCCTCTAAGTTCAAGCAGCTCCAACAAAGGTTTCTTCTCAAAAGCTAGAAAGACCCTGCTCAGATTCTGTATGAGAAGTTTCCATTGCTACCAAAGAACTCCCCACCCTTCTGTACCACTTTGCTATTGAAGTTCTTGCCATCTCACTCTTCTGCTTTCTGTATCCCCTGTTTATCCTTGTGAGATCTTCTAATGCTCTCCTGATCACAGGCTAATGAATAGAACTTCTCTGCATTTTCTTCTGATCACCCAGGACAGTAGGTACAAAACTCTCTGCCAGACCCTGGGATTCCGTATTCCTTTCCTTTTGATTCCTTGAAGGTTCTCACTTAAGGATTTGTCTCTGACACCTGAAAAGTGTAGTTTTCATATAGACCCTATAATGGGGTCCTTATCCTCGCATAAGTAACATAATATGCCCTGCAGAGACAAGCTGTGATATACCCCTAGAGGTCTATAGCTGCTGAGGTATTTAATGGGCGAGCCTTGTCTTTTCCTAGTTTCAGTTCTGGTTAATGGGAGAACTTCTTTTTAAAAAATCTTCCAGGTCACATTGGTGTTAAGATAAAAATCCTTAACTATTGGGAACTGACTAGGATTCTGCAAATTCCTCACATCAATACCGGATCTGACAAGTGGCCTCCTAGGTCAACTGATGCCTTCATCTGCCTCTGCATTCTTTAGAATTGGATCTGTTTTTATGTCCTTTCAGGCACTGAGGGTGGGGAGAGAATCTATGGCAAAGGCAATTGATGAGAACAAGACAGCAAGATGTTTGGTTGGTCTTGAGTTTAACTGACTGAACAACTTGTGTGTTTTTCTTCGTATTCACCTGGGCACTCAGAATCTGAAGTGGGAGTCGTAAAGCTGCTGTGTGTCAAAGCTAAGAGAATGCCCAAGTCACAACACATAGGGACTGTTTACTGTGTAGCTTAACAGCATGTGAGGCCCTGATGGAATTCTGTAGGAAGACATATTGCACATGAAGGTTTCTGTGACTGAAGTGCCTTAAAGGTGCCCGGAGTTTCTGAAAAATGCAGAAACAGATTACATTGATCTTCCAAATCAGAGAACTTTGGGATGAGACCATCTCCATCCCTTGTGTGTAATTTTCAAAATGTTAAAAATATAATTCTCAGACAAATAGATAGTAATTACGGGCCAGCATTTTAATTAACTCAATATGTAATGAGGGAACCAGTGGGATGACAAAGCTCGTCCAAAGGAGGATAAGAGAAACTGATATATAGTCAATGACAAGTAAAGGATGCTGGAATAAGATTGTTAAGTTATAAAACAGGTTAATGTTCTACAAAGCAGTAAAATCATAACCCTCAGGTTATCTTTCTATTAGACAAAATAAATTACATTCTTACCTGGCAAAAATAATCATTACATCTTATTAGTTTTCTACAAGTTAGTATATAACTTTACAGAGTTTGGGCTCTAATCGGTAGTAAATAGGCAGATGTTCCTTAGGCATGCTTGTTGACAGTGCTCTGATATGACATTGAAAGGACATGCAGTCATCCCTCTGCCTAATTTCCAAATTTTTGTTATCAACATTGAGTAGCACACTTTCTTCTATACTCACATATCATGGTTTTACAAAATTGGTTTTTATACCATGTGTATGGTATATTATTTTTATTATTATTTTATTATATTACAAATATAATAAATATAAATAAAATATTATAATATTTTATTATTATTGTTATTATATTATCTACATTATCCTAGGTCATTAAATGTTCTCTGAAAATATGCTTTTTAAGAGCTGCATCATGTATATGAATATATGTAATAATTTACTTAATATTTCCCTTTTGTTAGACATTTACATTTTGTGTCTTTTTTTTTGCTATGATAATGCTGTGATGAATATCCTTGTCCATAAATCTTTTTCTGTATCTCTGATTATTTCCTTAGAATAGGTTTTACTATTTTCTGTTTAATAGGTGAGTTCATCCTCGTAAAGCTCTTATGAGGAGAGAACTGAGATTTGATGAGGAGGAAGGTCTATGTTTTAGGGCAGTACTTCTCAAAATGTGATCCCTGGACCAGCAACATCAGTATCACCCAAGAACTTGTTAGAAATGGAAATTTTTGGACCCTATCCCAGAAATTCTGGAGGTGGGGCTCAGCAATCTATTTTTAGCAAGCCCTCCAGATGATTCTGATGCACACGCAGAAGTTTGAGAACCTCTGTTTTAGGAAATGTGAGCTTGGGACTATAAAAGAATTGAATACAAGGCTTCTGTAATAGCTGTGAGGTCAGATTGCTGTTAGGAAGCATCAGTCTGTCCTAAGCCATATTATTAGGGTACTGTAATTTTCTCTAACTGTTCTAGGTATTTCAAGAGCAAAGCAGGTGGAGGAATAATTTTGTTGAAACTTTTGTCTGTTTTCCCATCTGGTTTGGCTGCTACTGTTATTATTGTTATTATTAATACTGGCTGTGATTATTAGAGAGATTTCTGTATTATATAGGATAGTATTAAATGCCTGACTCGGGATGAAGGCTAATCAAGGATTTCAGTCAGGCCAGAAGGATGTTAAAGGTTTGGATGATGTGACTTAGGGGTGTTCAGGCGGTAGGGTGCTTTCTAGGAAAAGAGCAGATTCTGCCAGTGTGATTGTGTGAGAGAGGAGACTGATGAGGAGATTGTGGTCTTAAGGGAGTGTGGTGTGTGTGTGTGTGTGTGCTAAGAGAGAGAGGAAGAACTGCAGTCATAGTACATAGTGGTGTACTGTGATGGTACATAGTGAGTGTATGATAAATATTTTTATAAATTAAATTGGATTGAATTGGTTGTGGTGATATAATTTTGGATTTGGCAATGATGTAATATGGCTGAGGTCAAAAGGAGATAGAAATTCATGAAGTTTAAGTTTGTATTATGTTTACATGGCATTCAGCATGTATGAAGTTTCAAGGGATGATCCAGGTTCTGGAAACATTTAGAAAGGTGGAAATGGCTTTTTGGGGCAGTAAACAGTGAAAACAGAAATAAATAGTGATAGGCAGATGATGATAAAGATGGATTGAATGAACTTCATTTTTGTCCTTTCTTTGCCATTACTCCTTTCGCTCTACTGAGTAATGGTAGTAGGAGAAAGTGGGATCTATAGGAGGGAGAAGAATAAAACGGAAGTGGCTTTTGTTTTGTTTTGTTTTATGTTTTTGTTAGAAGAGTCCAGTTGGAGGCAGTTGGACAGGTAAGGTAGCCATAGAAGGTAGGAATGAGGGAGACAATGGGTAAGCCCTAACCATTAGGGAATATAAGAGGGGCTTCTTAGAGATGAAATTCTGTGTTTTTTAATTTATAGCAATGTTTTAGCTTTTCACAAGATGGCAAATCAAAAATTCCAAATAAATATTCACACACTCAGCAGGTCTAGTAGAAAACATTTAGGTGGTTTGTCTTTGTGATAAATAATCCTGTTATGAATACCCTTGTACATAAAACTCATCCATTTAGTTAGTATGTTCATTCATTCGTTAAAGAAATATTTATTAGGTACCTAGTCAGTGCCAGGCATTGTCATTGTCATGGGGATAGAGTAGAGAACATGTCAAAGTATCTGCTATCTTGAAGCTCACATTTTGGTTTGAGGAAGGAGATCATAAAAAAGTAAACACATAAATAATAAAATTTTAGGCAAGGATAAATGCAATGAAGTCAATTAAAGCAGAGAAAGGAGCGAGTAATGGGGACAGGAAGGGAGAGCTATTTTTGATAGGGTCATCTGGAAAGGCCGCTCCAAGAATATATTTGAGCCGAGATCTGAATAATATGAAGGCGTGAACCATGTGAATTTCTGGGGGAGAACATTAAGGAAGAAGGAACAGCAAGGGTAAACCCCCCAAGGCAGAAATGAATTTGTTAGGTTAGAGACAGCAAGAAAGCCCCTGTGACTGGAGCAGAGTGAGTGAGCGAGCCTGAACCATGTTAGGAGGTAATGTTGGAGAAAGCGTCAGCAGCCAAAGTTTAGGGCCCCGAAGACTGAGGTAAGGAGTTTAGATTGTGTTCTAAGGTGAAGGGAATTGCTTCGAATCAGTGCCTTGTCCTAAGGTTCTTAGAAGTAGAATTGCTCTTCTCTAAAGATACGACTTTTAAGCTGTCTTTGGGACATTCTCCCCAGTGGGATGGCATCTTTAACATTATAATTAAATCAATGGGAAGTATGTTTTTGTTTAATATATATAATTATATATAATCTCTCTCTCTATATATATAGATAGCTGTTTCTCTAGCTATATATATAGAGAGAATAAATTCAAATGAGTTATGCCTTAGCATGTTTTAATTTACCATAGATGTGATACATCCATATTTCTACTCATTCTGATTTTCAGAATCAAGAAAATCTCAAATCTGGAGAATCTAAAAAGCTTAGATGTCTTGGACCTTCATGGAAATCAGGTATTGTAAAGCCTTTTCATTTCTTTGTTTTTTGAAAAAAAGTCCAGGAAATTTGGTATTATAAAAGTTTTAAGAATTTAAGAATTGTGTTGAATTTTTCAAGAGTTACTTTACTGATTCACTGAAATTTCTAAGATATTAAGCCTATTTATGTAAGATTTGGTAATTCCTTAGCAGTACATGACAGACAAAACATAGAAAACATTTGGAATCCTTGTAGTTATGACAATTTTGTTTCTTATTGAGTCTTTTATTAACTTATTTTTTAAGTATACATTATCTTATCCAACCCCAACCCAAGGACTAGATTATTACTAATGATCTTCTTCTACTTAGGTGTTCCTCCTTTATTCCGAGGTAACCACTATTCTGGATTTCACATTTATCATTCCTTTGTGGGGCTTTTTTTAGTTGGTTTTATCACATATAAATGTATCTAAATAATATATTGTTTAGTAATATTGTCTCTTAATTTACAAAAGGTGTTGTACTATATGTTGTCATCTAGTGTTTGCTTTTTGGATACAACGTTATGTCACTGAGATTCTTCTATGTTGAGTAAGTAGCTGTAGTTTATTCATTTTCACTGTTGTATGTTTCACGTTGTGATTATGTGAAAACTTCTTTCTCTAATTTATTATTGATAGACGTTTGGGTTGTTTCCTTGTTTGTTGTTGTTTTGTTTCCTATTAGGAATAGTACTTCTAAGAACATTCTTGTGTGTGTTTCTTCCATATACCATAAGTGCTCTAGAGTCTACATCTAGGAGTGAAACTGGTGGGTCATAGATTACTTCAATGTTTAACTTTAAAAGGTAATACCAAATAGATGTTAGCTCAGAGCTGGTCTTCCTCAGCAAAAAACCAGGAGGATTAGCATGGATGTTAGCTCAGGGCTGATCTTCCTCACAAAAAAAAAAAAAAGAAAAAAGAAAAAGATAATGCCAAATTGTTTTCCAAAGTGGTTGTACCAGTTTATACTCCTACCAGTAATACTTAAGAGATCCTGTTGCTTCACATTCTTTTCAACATTTGGAATTGTCAGACTTCTTAATTTTTGCCAATTAAATTTATATAAAGTGTTGTCTCCTTGTGGTTTTGATTTATATTTCCCTGAGTACTGTATAATCTGAGCTTGTTATTCTGTTTAGTAAGTCAACTTCTCTACCCCTATGTGTGTCTGTCTCGATTTCTCTATCTGGCTTGTCATATTCTCCCTCCTTATTCTTCTCTCTCAGAGCGTCTTGGCAGTTTTTTAACCCTTTGCTCTTCCTTTTATAATTTTATTTATTTATTTTTTCCCCAAAGCCCCAGTAGATAGTTGTATGTCATAGTTGCACATCCTTCTAGTTGCTGTATGTGGGACACGGCCTCAGCATGGCCGGAGAAGCGGTGCGTCGGTGTGCGCCCGGGATCCGAACCCGGGCCGCCAGCAGTGGAGCGCACGCACTTAACTGCTAAGCCACGGGGCCGGCCCTGCTCTTCCTTTTAAATTTTAGTCTTTGAAATGTATTTATTTATGAATAGCTACATGAGCTGCATACTCAATCAGGAGGTAAAGCCTCTCCGGAGGTGATAAGCATACTTTCTGGGATGATCCAGGAATCCCTGCCTAGTGATGAACAAGCTCTGCCACTGCCACTTGCAGTCGGTCAGGCACAAACCTCAGTATGATCCCTCTAGGCTTTCTAACAGCTGTGAGTCCCAGTCGTTTTGGTGAAAAGCTAATGTAATTAATAAAAGCCTTGATAGATCTAGATAGGCCACATCTTAGATTCTAATCTCATCGCAGCCCCACCTGAGTGTCTGTCTGTGTATGCACTCGGTGGGAGGAGTGTTGACAGCCTGGGAATTGCCCAGCTCTGCAGGCTGGTAAGTGACACTCTAGTAGAGGTGAAGTTACCCAGTTGGATGGTGGTAGAAGGGGAAGAGGAACTAAAGAGTTTTGTCAGAAAAAAAATACCATATGCAAAAGCACTGAGACTAAAAACAACATGGTAAGTATTTTTTACTGCTAGAAAATTTAGCACGAGTTGAGGAATGGTGAGAGATGAGGCGAGAAAAGTAGGTAAAGGCCGGATTGTGGAGGGCTTTGTACGTCATACTAAGGAATTGCCATTTAACTTGTAGCCCACTATTTTTTTTTCCAGTAACTTTATTGAGATCATAATGGTTTATAACATTGTGTAATTTTGGGTGTACATTATTGTTTGTCAATTTCTAAGTAGACTTCAGCTTGGTCACCCCAAGTAGTCTAATTATTGTCCATCACCTTACATATGTGCCCCTTTACCCCTTTCACCCACCCCCCACCCCTCTGGTAACCACCAATCTGTTCTCTTTATCCATGTATTTGTTATATGCCACGTATGAGTGAAAGGCAGTATTTGTCTTTCTCTGTCTGGCTTATTTCACTTAACGTCATACCCTTAAGGTCCATCCATGTTGTTGCAAATAGGACAATTTTGTCTTTTTTATGGCTGAGTAGTATTCCATTGTATATATATACCACATCTTCTTTATCCAGTCATCAGTTGATAGGCACCTGTGTTGCTTCCACATCTTGGCTATTGTGAATAATGCTGCAGTGAACATAGGGGTGCATAAATCTCTTTGGATCACTGATTTCAGGTTCTTTGGATAAATGCCCAGTAGTGGGATAGCTGGATCATATGGTATTTCTATTTTTAATTTTTTGAGAAATCTCCATACTGTTTTCCATAGTGGCTGCACCAGTTTGCATTCCCACCAGCAGTGCATGAGGATTCCCTTTTCTCCACATTCTCTCCAACATTTGTTATTTTTTGTCTTGGTAATTATATCCATTCTGACTGGTGTAAGGTGATATCTCACATTTGTTTTGATTTGCATTTCCCTAATAATTAGTGATGTTGAACATTGTTTCATGTGTCTGTTGGCCATCTGTATATCTTCCTTGGAAAAATGCCTGTTCATATCCTCTGCCCATTTTTTGATTGGGTTGTTTGTTTTTTTGTTGTTGAGTTGTATGAGTTCTTTATATATTTTGGAGATCAACCCCTTAGAAAGTGATTTGCAAATATTTTCTCCCAGTTGGTGGGTTGTCTTTTCGTTTTGTTCGTGGTCTTCTTTGCTTTGCAGAAGCTTTTAAGTCTGATGTAGTCCCATTTGTTAACTTTTTCTTTTGTTTCCCTTACCCGGTCAGACGTTATTTGAAAAGATGCTGCTAAGATCAGTGTCATATAGTGTACTGCCTATATTTTCTGCTAGGAGTTTTATAGTTTCAGGTCTTACATTCAAGTCTTTAATCCATTTTGAGTTAATTTTTGTGTATGGTGCAAGATAATGGTCTACTTTCATTCTTTTGCATGTAGCTGTCCAGTTTTCCCAACACCATTTATTGAAGAGACTTTCCTTTCTCCATTGTATGTTCTTGGCTCCTTTGTCAAAGATTAACTGTCCAGGGGCCGGCCCGGTGGCACAAGCGGTTAAGTGCGCGTGCTCTGCTGCGGTGGCCTGGGGTTTGGAGGTTCGGATCCCTGGAGCGCACCGACGCACCGCTTGTGAAGCCATGCTGTGGTGGCGTCCCATATAAAGTGGAGGAAGATGGGCATGGATGTTAGCCCAGGGCCAGTCTTCCTCAGCAAAAAAAGGAGGATTGGCAAATGTTAGCTCAAGGCTGATCTTCCTCACAAAAAAAAAAAAAAAAGATTAACTATCCATAGATATGTGGTTTTATTTCTGGGTAGCCCACTATTTTTAAAACTATTCATAACTATAAGTGAAACATTTTATGGCAGCAATATTTTTCTTAAGTTTGTTTTAAAATGTATATATGTGAAATAGACATATTTATGTGGTTTTCACATTACAATATACCTTTAAGAATTAGTGGGCATTACCCACAATCTGTAAGAGCACCTGATAAATGAATAACATATCACTTGATCTATATATTATATGTAGGAATTATTTACCAACCATTATATTGATGAAAACTGCTCTATTCCTTTTTAGCTGACGTGTATTAGCTGTCTTATAATTTCAGCATGTTTGTGATATTGCGTGTATTAATATTAAATATTGTACCACACAAATTATTTCTCAAGGTTCTATAACTACAAGAAGGAAGTTTGAAATGAAAATCTGAGTCTGGTTTTACAATATCTAAATCCAATAAGCAAAAATTTGGAGTATTTCAAAGCAAAGACAGTCTTGGTTACCTTAGGCTTCTAAAAAGTCAGGAGATAAACTGTTTAAGATGAAACAATGTCCAACTCTAAAAAAATAACATCAGGTAGTTAAAAAGCTAAAAGGAAATTAAGTGAATATTGTCTGTCTTTTGAATTTACTTCCATTGGGAATAAATATGGTACTTGGTGTGCATTGTGAAATAAAATGCAATTGGTTTATGGATGTGAAAATGTTCTGAGGAATGATGATAGTGTTTAAGAAATAGACTGAGGAATGGAAGGAGATGGAGGGAGGTGAAACGAGATAGAGAACAGTTGAGAGACTAAGCCAGTAGTCTTTGTGAGAAGTCATGGCGACTTGAACTAAAGTAGGAGCAATAGGGATAATAATAGGGGGGCAGATTGGACAAATATTGAAAAAGTAGAAACATCAAGATTTAGCAATTGATTATATGTGAGTAGTGAAGTATACAGAGAAATCTGGGAGGTTGACTCTCAATTTCTGACCTAGATTTTTTTTGATCTACCAGAATTTGTTCTCTCGGTAATGCTTGCTTTAACATGGACACAACCGTGCTTCAAAAAGAACCTGTTCTTTCAGCGAAATCTTTCCCTTCAGGGAGAGCTTGCCCTTTCTGTGATTGCTCGCTTGAAAGCAGACCTTTGCCCTTTTGGTATTGCTGCGTAGGAAGGTTGTCTTTATTTAGACAGAGCAGTCTGGTTATCTTACACACAAAGATAGGACTGGAGAATCCAGCTTTCCTATGTGTATTAAGAAAATCTGCAGTCTATCTTGGGACTGTCTCTCTGATCAGTATGACCCCATAACTGGGCTTTCAAACATTCTCTTCTTCTTGTGAAGTTTATTAACTAATCAAGAACTATGATCTCACCCTATACCACCCTTTGCCTGAAGTTTCTATCAATTTACTCTATGCTTGTGATTTTGTCCATGGCCGCGACAAGTAACAGACTTGATTCTATCAGAGATGTTGCACACGATTCTGGCCTATCTGATTGCAAAGCAAGAAGCCCAGCAATATCCCCAGTGATTTTTTTTTTTAATTACAGGTTGATACCTATATATTAGAATTAACATTAACAATGTTTCTTTTCAGAGTTTAAACTAAAGGGTAACTCTAAAATGTAGGCATTCTAATTGTAAGTCTCACCAGAACCAAATGGAATTAGAGAGGTAGTTTTCTAGAAGAAGTGCCCCCATGATTATTTGCAGAAGGGAGAAAACACCCTATGCAGGTCATACAACAATTGTGCCCCTTTGTTCTATATACTTATATCTTTCTTGAGCTCAGGAAAGCTTTATTTTATATATATAAATATTGCTTTTCCATTTATGTTTGTTATATCTATATTGTCTGTCTTTCACATCCCCATCTTATCTTTTATTCCTCTTATCTGTATTTTTTCTTAGTATTTTAGGAGAATTTCTCAAGCTTATGCTGACAGTACTGATTTTCTACAGTGTCTATTTTGCTTTTTGCTGATTCCATACATTTCAAATTCCATCAACTATTTAGTTATGAAATATTTTTGTCCATGTCTTATTGTACAGATCTGTCATCTGCAAATGCTGATAACCTTGTTTCTTCTTTTACAATTTTTATTTAATTTATTGTCATTTTACATTTGTTAGGCCAAAAATCTTAGGACAAATTTTAAAGCATGGTCAGATGTTACCTTTCTATATTATTGAATTTATAATAAATGTAGTTTGATTTCCCCTCTCAAACCTAGATGGAATCTAGATGATATTTCTTGAATGTAAGAGAAGGTCCAAATAACAACATAGAAACTGGATTATAAATCTAAAAAAAAACTTCTTTTAGCCAACATCTGCTTTGCAGTGGTAAATGAAAATTTTCAAATAATACGAATTTGTGATGGCAATACATATGAAAAAATTAACCTCTAGTCATTGTGAAATTTATTTATTTTTTTTTGTGAGGAGATCAGCCCTGTGCTAACATCTGCCACTCCTCCTCTCTTTTTTTTGTTGCTAAGGAAGACTTGCCCTCGGCTAACAGCCGTGCCCATCTTCCTCCACTTTATATGGGACACCGCCACAGCATGGCTTGCCAAGCAGTGCGTCGGTGCGCGCCCGGGATCCGAACCTGCGAACCCTGGGCTGCCACAGTGGAGCGCGCACACTTAACCGCTTGTGCCACTGGGCCGGCCCCCTGAAATTTATTTTTTTTAATGTTCAGAAGAAAAGTGTTATGTGTATGACTCATTGTTATTTAAGTAATATTTTAAGTTATATTAAAAGGTTGCTGAAGTCCCCCGAAAGGAGCCCTACTTCTGTATCACGCAGGAACTCATCCCATTGTGCTATGCTTGCTGTACTACAGTAGTGGGGCTTAAAACCATGTTGAGATCTCATCACTTCATGGGTGTGGCTTTTACTTACCCTCACCTTACTGTGCAGCTCCAGCTTCTCCGCTGCAGTTCAGCGCTTATGCACACGTGCACGTTCCATGATGCAAGTCCTGTCGTTCTAAACAGTTAATGTCTACCTGACTAAACATTATCTATCTGTCTTAAGCATTTCCACTAATAAAGAATATCCATCCTCACCCTCCACTAGGGATCCTAGTTCCTTGAATCTTTTCCCTTCAGACCCATGACTGCTCTCAGGATCCTGCAGTATAAATGGAATCAACAAGGGCAACTTGGTATCATTCCTTTTCCTTGCCTTTTCTCTCGGAGGACAGTCTTGCTTGGTCAAAACATGGTGAGCTTATGCCTTGGGCTCACAGTAAGTTTCTATTTGGCAGGTGGTATGTATACTTCTTGTTACCTGGCACACTGTTGGGGCACTTAGAGATGTGCCAAACAATGGACTTGTTGATTATTTGATAAAATTTACTTCAAATATTTACTATTGTCAAATTATAAAATATATGTTTCTTTGGTTAACTTTCACAAGTTAAATGACTTCAGATTATCTACAACAGAGGAAATGGAAATAGATTTTTAAATGTCTTCATATAAACTTGTCAGTGAATCCAGTGACTATATATTTTATTTTTAGAGTTTTTATAACATGCATGTCTGAGATTTATGGCTGCTAATCATCCCTTCCTCATTTTTTAACAGATTACCACAATTGAAAATGTCAATCATTTGTGTGATTTGAGAGTTTTAAATCTTGCCAGGAACCTTTTAAGTCACGTTGATAATCTTAATGGGCTGGACTCACTAACTGAACTTAACCTGAGGCACAATCAGATCACTTTTGTGGTGAGTATCAAAATGGCATCAATATGTGGTCCCTGGTTTTTCTTTAAAGGAAATGAAATAAATGTTATTGCATTGCTTTATGCAAAGTAAGAATCAAAGGTAATTTAGTTTTTTTCTGAATTTAAATTGTGGATATAATTATTAAGCTTTATAATATTTTGATTTGGGAAGTGTTAAGGTGTTTTCTATTTTAAAAGATAAATATAAAATTAGAAACAGAATAGAAGTGTTATCAGTAAATGAATCAGCTAGTGTAAATGAACACTGAATCCTTTCCTGTTTTGTCATGGGTATAGAATTAATAAGAAAGAAAGGTTATTGGTGACTGAAAGTTGATGAATTGTTGCACCAAGAGGAAAAAGGCACAGAGAGGAGAGGTTGAGGGCTGTGAAGACATGCGTAAATATCATATCCTTTGCAGTTTTTAAAGCAGCAGCTTGGTTTAGTGGAAAGAACATTGCATAGGGCGTCAGAGGTCTAGTTCTGGTCTCAGCTTCATCTCTCATGAGCTGTGTCACCTTGGGTAAATCACTTTAACGCTGTAAGCCTCGGTTTACTTTTCTCTAAAATGAGGGCATTGGGCTAGATTATCTCTAGGGTCCTTTTGGCTTGTTGACTCTGAAAAAAGACATAAAGATGGTAGAGAACTGGCATGTGAGCAAGAGGAAAAGAGTTAGCATTGTGGGGGCAAAACTACAGAAAGGCGACTCTGGAACTCTGAAGATAAACTTCATTAGAGTTATAGTTGTACCCAAGTTCGGCAACTAAATAACAGCTTGGTGCTCAGGTATTTTGTACTTGTGCATATGTGAAGAGCACTAGAAATACAGCTTTCAGCTGTATGATATGATACGGGCCAAGAAGACTTCTAATGATTTGTAAAAATGTTATTTGTTTTTTTTTTTTTTGGTGAGAAAGATTAGCCCTGAGCTAACACTTGTTGCCAATCTTCCTTTTTTTGCTTGAGGAAGATTGGCCCTGAGCTAATATCTGCCCATCTTCCTCTATTTTGTATGTGGGACGCCTCCACGGCATGGTTTGTTGAGTGGTGTATGTCTGCACCCAGGATCTGAACCTGCGAACCCAGGCCACTGAAGCGGAGCTCGCTGAACTTAACCACTATGCTGCCAGGCCGGCCCCTTTTATTTGTTCTTTTAACAAGTTTCCTTTGTTTACATGCAATAGAAAAACTTCATTAGATCCTCTCTGGATATCATTTAAGCACTTTTAAAGGCAAAATCTAACTCTGAACTTCTTCAAGACATTGAGTTCCTTAGTAGATAAGTATAACTGTAAGTGGTACCCTGGTAAAGGCTGGGGGACAGATGATGCCTTATATCTAGCCCCCATTGTACAGGCTGATTTCATTTTGAAAATCTGAGCCAAGTAGTGCTCATATCTTTTAGGAGGTTGGGATGATTTCAGAACCTTCTCCAAGACCTGGATTTATTCCAGAACCTGTAAATTCTGTCAGGCCCTCCCCAGACTGGATTTAAATATTGGAAATGGCTTGCTTATTTTAAAAGACATCCAGATTGAATTAATCTGTTACATTGCTGAATCTCTAGGAACTACTCAGGCTGAACTTAATCTGACCTCAAGACATTGGGTATAGTAAGAATCTAAAAAGCTTTGGTGGATTCCTGTCTATATTTTGTCTTTCGTTTGGAAAATGCATAATGCATATCTAAGAAATTGCTTACTGAATTTCCCATTGAGTATTATGTCTAATCATTACTGGTATAGTTTAGGCAGCAATAAGCATTTTATGGAAAAGGAAACTGTATTAATTTCTAAAAGTTAAAAAGATTTAGTGATAGGTATTATACATATGATGTCATTATCATGATAATGACAAGTATCATGTATATTAATTTATAGAAAATTGAGAGTACACGTATAAGGATAAATAAGAAACTTTATCCAACTCTTATTTGTTTCTTTTTCAAAGTATCCTTTTCTTAAAAGAGCCAAGAGACTTTTAAATCCGAGGATTCATTTTTTTTTTTTTTTTCATTATCTTTTCTTTTCTCCAGGGTCAGTTATATCACATTTTTTCTTTTTGCTTTTTTTTTTCTTTCGTGGTTTTGATTTTCCTCAATGGCTGGTAATCTTTAAATGAAGGACCATGTTAAATAGTGGCTGGGTCTCCTGTGCAGCTGAATCGGTCTTTTTAACCATAGGATCTCTCCCTGGAATGATCACTAGCTTTGTGTAAGTTGTTAAATCCCACACATTGGCAGACTTCCCTTTAGAGTGAGTGGAAGGGAAAAGGCAGGCTTACTTTGTAATTGCCAAAATAGGGAAGACTTTACTTTTGGGAGTAGAAGGACTTGAGTATCTTATGTGCCAGGTGAAACTACCATTCCTTTTTCCCCTCGGGTTCTACTGTAGCAGTTATTAACCACCTCCATAGATAGAACACCCACGCTCTCCATCCTTCCTTGACAGATACTCTATTTGTTTAGAGAACAGATCCTGAGGCTCCAGCTGAGGGTTTCTTCAGCCAGCTCCTCTGTACATGGTTGTGTGTGTGTGCATGGCAGGAGTGGGAGTGGGCTGGGGATGGGATGGGTTTGTTGGTGTTCCAGGAATAGCTGTTGAGTAGACAGACCTTTAATTACACATCTACTTGATTGCCCACAATTAGCCGCAGTCCACGCCTGCTCTTTGTGTGTATTAACTCTGAGCATGGAGTAAGATGGCATTCTGTCAGACAGAACTGCTGCGTTTGCAGTGCAGCGTCTCTCTTGCTAGTTTTAAGCTGCAGTTTTCTCTGTTCAGGATATATCCAATAAGATCCTATCTGCTTTCCAGCTTCCTGAAATTCATGAAAAATGCCGATCTATTAATGATAACTCTCTTGTTTTTAGCATTTCCGTGGATTTACTCATTTTGTGTATTTTTTTCTGCTTCACCCATTGAATCTTGGGAAGGAGATGAAACAAATACATTACCTACTTCACCATCTTATTAGAAATCTTCTTCTCTGATGCTTTTGATGTGGAAAAGTTCTTGTCTGTTTGGTTTTCGTTGTAGTTAAATTCACTAATCTTTTTCTTGGAAATTTTGTAAATTTCAAGCCAAATGTCTTTTCAGTATATATCTTTCCCTTCTGAAAATTATTAAACATTTCAGACACTTTTAAAAGAATAGGAAATAATATTACCAACATTTGTGTATCCACCAGTCAACTTAATAAATGAAAACCTTTCAATTTTCCTATTGTCTTTCAAACATGGGTGAAGCCTCTTGTGTAACCTTCCCCCATCACATTCCCTCCCTGCTTTCAGAGGTTACCACAATCCTGAATTTGCTGTTTAATCCCATGTATGTCTGTTTCCTTTTCCCGTATATGTGTGTATCCCTAAACAATATGAAATAGTCTTTCTGCATGCTTTTTTTTTTTTTTTGTCAGGAAGATCAGCCCTGAGCTAACATCTGTGCTAATCCTCTTCTTTTTGCTGAGGAAGACTGGCTTTGAGCTAACATCCATTGCCTAATCCTCTTCCTTTTTTTCCCCCAAAGCCCCCCAGTAGATAGTTGTATGTCATAGTTGCACATCCTTCTAGTTGCTGTATGTGGGATGCGGCCTCAGCATGGCCGGAGTAGCGGTGCGTCGGTGCGCCCGGGATCCAAACCTGGGCCGCCAGTAGCGGAGCACGCGCACTTAACCACCAAGCCACGGGGCCGGCCCTTTCTGCATGCTTTTAAATGTTCTGTAAAAGGTATACTGTACATATCTTCTGTAAGTTGCTTTTATTAACATTATGCTTTGAGATTTGTCTACGTTGATACTTGTAGCTCTAGATCACTGATTTTAATTGTTATGTAGTATTCCATTGTATGATTGTCATTAAATGTTCATTCTTCTGTTTGTGGGCAGTCATAGTATTTTCAATTTTTTGTTGTTAAGAAGTAGCACAATCATGATGTAATCTATACAGAAATAGAAGTATAATGATGTACACCTGAAATTTATACAATGTTATAAACCAGTGTTACTGCAATAAATAAAAAATTAAAAAAAAAAAGTAGCACAAGTAATATTTTTGTACATATCTTTTTGTGCGTATGTGTAACAATTTCTCTAGGACAGTGGCTTTCAGACATTTTTAGCTATAATCTATGGTAATATATAAATTTATATTGAAACCCAGTTATTGAGTACATATTTATATGGGTACATTATAAAAAATGGAAACAAGCATTTCATGAAATTATACCTACCCTTACTGCAGTCCATTCTGGTATATTCTGTTCTGTTCTATTCTCATTAAAAAATGTTGGTCTCAAAAAAAAATGTTGGTCTCAATCCACTGAATTGATTTCTTGACCAATAAAAAATTGGTTGCAATCTGCATTTGAAAACAATGCTCAACGGTGGATACTTGGGAGAAGCATTGCTGGGTGCCAGCATTATGCACATCATTTCACTTGATCAGATATCGCCAAGTTTTTCCTAAGGTTGTCACACCAAACTCCATTTCCATCAGCATTATCTGAGTGTTTTTTTAACTTCACATCTTTGTTGATGCTTGCTATTGTCAGACCTTTTAATTTTTGCAAATCTTTTAGCTATGAAATTGTGTTGCATTGAGATTTTAATTTGAATTTCCAGTGAGATTGAATGCCTTTCATCTTTTTGATATTGAGATTGCCTCTTCTGTGTGTAGCCTTATCCTTTGCCCATTGTAATAGCAGGTTTTTTTTCTTTTTCCTGTTGATCGATAGTATTTCTTTTGTTTCTGCTCTTTTGAGGAACAGAAGTAAAAAATCATCAATAGTTTTCTTTATTGTTTCTGTTTTTTGTTTGAAAAATCCTTCCTTATAGGCTGAGGACATAAGGACTTTTTCTATACTGTCTAACAAAAGTTTTAAAGTTGTTCTTCACCTGTAGGTGTTTCATTTATTTGGAATTGATTTTTGCCTGTGGTGTGAAGTTGAAGTTCAATTTCGTTTTTTTCTCATTACTGATTGTCCCAGCACCATTTATTGAA